TTTTTTTTTCTTTTTTTGGTACCCATGTGTGCGTCTGTGAGAGAGAGAGACAGACAGACAGAGAGACAGAGAAAGAGAATTGAAAAGATTTGGGGCTCAAACTTACGTAATTCTAGTTCCAATCTAAGAACAATTAGTTCTTATGATATGGCCCTACAGGATACTCATCTTCCTGAAGAGATCATTGAAGGTATGGGTGCTATAGAAAAGTGTGCTGAAGAAATCTGATGGTGCCTGACTATCAGAAAGAGGAGTGACTGGGGTCTTCAAGGCTTGTCTTCAAACAAGCAGCCATCTAAGTGAGGTGTCAGCTAAGTCCACATGGAAGAAGCACTCCAGCCTGTGTAATCTAAGGACTGTAAGTAATAAAATCCAAATCCAAAGGAGGAAATCCTATTAGAGCTTAAAGTGTGAACACAGTTTGCAGAAGGCTATAGATGACAATGGAAGCTCAAAATCTAATTGCAGGATCCCCACATGGATTAAGCCTCCAGTGAATTCCCTCTGAATATAGTCCAGGGATGTTATCAGACACAGAGCATTGTAAACTTGATTATGGCAGATGTGGTTAGGTTAAAACGTAACACTTTATCATTTGATCTAGCTTTTGACCCATTTAAAAATTGTTTTAATTTTTAATATTTGTTTTCTTTTACATTTGGGTTTTTCTTGATTTTCTTTAGTCATTTTTGTCTATGTTATCTCAAATTCCTTAATGGTACACTAAATAAATAAAATAGCATCTTCTCTTTCATCTCTTCATTGTCATACTCCTAAGGGGAAAAAATTACAATAGCTCTCCAACTATAATTTCTTGATTCTTCAGCACATTATAATCTCAATTCTTCTGCTGCTATGGAATTTAAACAATGTGGCTAATTTCCTCAAGGTCCAAAACTGCTGGCCATTTTTGACGCTCCCTTTCCTGGCCTATCCCACTTTAAAAGGGGGGCATGCGTGGCAGGAGGCAGCACGTTTTTAGAATCTCTGATGATGGGAACCAAGAGCCGGGCTGTGCAAGTGTGTGAAAGCAGGTCAGAGTCCAGAACTACTCGAGTACGGAACTAATGCAGAAACAGGAAACAGGGGCAGTCAAGTGAGAAGCCAGTGACCACACGCCTGGGGAAATCCAAGAAGGGAACCAAAAAATAAAATGGGTCAAAGATTTAAGAACACCCCGAATCCCCAGGCGAACAAAATCCTACAGGCCCAGACCAAATTCTGCAGGGTCCCTAAGACTGTTTCAACTGAGTTTTATTCTTGAATCTCAGTATGTGGACAACTTTGTTTCCAGAATGTCTTTATTGTTATTATTATTATTATTAATCATTTTGTTGGGGAGGAGCCTCTTACAAATTTTATGACAACC